AGTCTCCTTATATCTGGTAGTACTACCCTGATCAAAAGAATATGATAACAAAGCATTGGTCAGATATCAAGCTCCAGGTAAATACATCATCAAAGCAGTCATGTCATGTAATGATTTACTGCTTAAGATATCTCGATGATCTTCAACCTAGACATGAAACTTTACTCGTTTTTCCAGAGCCTCAATCATGTATCCATATTACAAATTCCTGATGCATTTCCCTAATTCCATTATTAGATTACAGGCCCTAATATAACTAGCCGATTCATGTGATCAAATTTAAGTACATTGCACATGAAATCTGTAAAGGGGATGCAGGTGAAAACCTTGCACAAACGGTTTCTCTTTCGTCGTTCGACTTCCGCTTCGCATCTCCGTAGCGTTGCCTTGAGTTTCTCTCCCTTATCCGACAACTTAGGACCTAGCATCAAAATGTTACTCTTTGTCCTCACTCTCAAGCCTTCAAGTTCGCCATCCGTTTTCATTCGGTACTCCGGGTCTTCCTCTTCCATTTCAGGTTGTTGCAGGTCTCCACCGCGGCCCTTCGATTTCTCGGCGGGGGTGATGACGATGTCCGGTGGACGATCGTCGACAGAGTCATCTAAGAGCAATCCCCAGTTAATGTCCAAGGGCATCTTACTATTGCTAGTGTTGAAATGATTCATTTCTGCCATATCATCAATCAATGCATTTGAAATCGGAGGTGAATTTGAATTCTGGAGGGTAGTTTGCAGAGAGTTGCAGAGACGGGGGATTGACTGAAGACCGAGTATGCAAGGTGATACTTTTAGGGTTAAAAGTTAAAACTGGTAACCAGCTATTTGTAATTTCTCGAAATGGTCACTAATTTTAGAGTAAATTACCGTTTTGGTCCATATGGATTAGTCATATTTATACTTTTGGTCCAATCGTTAAAAACGTGACACATTCCTAAATTATATTGAATATGAGGTCCATGTAAAAAGATTATTTTATCATTTTTATTTTATTTGCTTTTTCTATTTTTTTTCTATTTTTACTCATGTATATTAACTAATAGCATGGTTCTAAAAAGCGTGGCACGCACGAGGTGTGGTATAGCCGTTACGAAAACATCTAAGGCAAGTTTGTTAAGTGTGGCGTCTAAATAACGTGTCAAGGCGAACCTTATCGAGTTATGACGCGAGTTTTTTTCAAGACGCAAGATTTTTTTTATCGAGACTAAATTAATTGAGTTTTTGTTAACTTTTTATATTAAATATTAATATAACACTTATAAAAACTTGATATATTTGATAAAAATCGATAATTATATGATTTGTATCTTTTGGTGTATATAAAATAGTCAACCCCTTGAAAAAAGAAATGGTTTGCATGTGTTATAACTTAACTTTAACCTTACCGTCAAGTCACACCTCATGCTATTTAGAACCTTGACTAATAACATAAAATAAAAAGGACAACAATAACACATGTATAATTCAGCAAATAAATTAAAATATGTTATTTTATATCTATCTTGATTTTGATCATTATGACATGATAAAATGTTATATATATATATATATATATATATATATATATATATATATATATATATATATATTAAATTTCTCCTACGTTAGCTACAGTTAATTTGATGGTTTTTTTTCTCATATATATATATATATATATATATATATATATATATATATATATATATATATATATTAAATTTCCAATTGTGTGTATGTCGGTCGTCTTCCATGTTAGTCCCTGGTTTCTTCCCAACTAAATGCGTGCCCACGTGTTCGTTTCCTCTATATGGATTTTCCCATTTTGGACACGTTGTGCTCCTCCCATCGACTCAGCGCCTCATCTTCCAATCAAACGTTGTCTATTTATCTTCCAATATTCCACCTCCTCCCTTCTTACTCCGATTTTCATCTGATCGTTTTTCTATCTACTCCGTTTTCCCAATGCTTTCCCTCCGGATTGCTCCAATATAGGGTGATCGAAAATTAGTGATGCCGGCATCTGATAAAAAAACAGACGAAACCGGTGTGGAGCACCAATTTCGTAAGCTAAAGCCACACGTATCCCCGTTCAGTATCTCAATCCCCCACCGCCATTATTCCATTTCCACTTGTTGTTCCCACCGCTTTTTTTCTCTTTCTATTTGTTCTGATCCCGGTTCAAACCTGTGATGTTCACACAGGTGGAGAAGAACCAGGTACCCGCTCCACTTCCGTCCTGATTGTTGGGTGCGACTACTCTACTCGATTAACTTCTTTCCCTTCCAGTTATTACTCTATTTTTTCAAGCCATCGATCGATTGAATTGTTGAATCAAAGTTCTTCCTCATCTGTTTGTATGTTAACTATATGTGTGTAATCTCCATCGGAAGTACAAGCATTACCTACCCACGTGTTCAATTCCAAGTAGCTTAAGCTGTAACGATTAAGGTATCATCCCGTGACCATGGTCAATCAATTCAAATTTTCATTTGAAGAATTTGATCTCCAATCAATAATCCTAGAGTTGTCTCTGTGTTGCCCTAATTTTTCCTGATTAGGGATTTTCAGTTCCATCTTGCTTTCCTTACGATTAGGAAAAAAAACCCACTGGTTTGATATAGTGGTTCACAAGGATTCACGGTAAGTTAACCTAATCAAACCTTCTAGAATTATACACATGAGAAGGTTGAACCTTGGTGCGATCTTTCATGGCTTTTCATAAAGTTGTTTTTCACTTAACATTTATGTTTGAGATAATAGTTACTTCTTATGTTGTTTTGTGATTCTGATGACCCATTAATTTTGATTTTGGTAAATAAACATGACATTATTATGGGCTTATAGTTCAAGAAATTTCCAATTACTTCTTTGGAAGTTTATAATCACTACTAGAAAATAGCCCTTTAATGACGCGCAAACAATGACACGCGGTGATTTAAGATACGCAAAAGCGTGTACCCTAAAAATAATGTTATCTCTTCTAAAATTTGAAGGATAGTGGACACGCTTTTATGCGTACCCTAAAATTAATGTCGAACAAAAAAAAACACGGAGGGCACTTATTTAAAAATGGGTGTCGTCTAGAAATGTCACTTTATATTTTTTTAATGAAAGGCGCGTTCTTTTCTTTTGCAGCTGGGGGGAAACGAAAATCCCAAAAGTTTGAAAGACCGCCATTGTTTCCCTCTGCCTTATTTCCATCTCTCTTCTCTCTCTCTCTCTCTTTCTCTCTCTATCTTTCTCACTATGATACCCAAAAAAAACCCTAATAGCATCACCAATCCTCTTTTTTCCCACAACAAAATCGCAATATAATCCCGTCTTTTGAACAGATCAAACCCATAGGGGTTCTCGACGGAAGAGATACAACTTCATAGGAGCCCTAATTTCTCATCTGAATTCGTTAACTTCTTCAAATGGTTCTCAGACTTTTTTTTTCTCTCTCTACATTTTCTTCTCGTTCATTTCTCAATCTCCAGAAGGTCAGGAGAACACTGCGTCTGCAATCGGATTGCTTAGTCGTAATCCTGAGAGTGTTGAACACCGGTGTATGCTCGTTATTTGTTAAAATTCTCAAAGAAAGTCCCATGAAAGAGCAAGCAGTTATCTCCTAGGATGTATCGTTCGATTAACACAATTCATCAAACCCTAGAATCGTAAAGGAAACCTAGCCCCCACAGCTTTCTTCACACTTCACCTCCTCAAAGATCTATCGGTAATAAATCAAATTATTCTTTGCTGTATACTATTTGTATGCGACCTTCTAATCTCTTTGATCCAAATTCTATTTAGGCTCCATATGGAGGAAGTATCTTCGTATGCGACATTCTAATCTCTTTCATCTTTTTTTACATCTCAACGTGTTTCCCAGAAGCATCATAACTGGAACCGCGCTTCAGCAACTAAAAGAGTTCTTGAATCAGTCACCATCCCGGCGAAGACAGAGGAAACCATGGATCTTGGTTCATTGCTTTGGCCTGTAACCGAGCCTCGATTACACTTTCTTGGACTCGTGTACTCAACCATCACCCCTCTTCTCCTTCCATTTATCATCGTCTTCTTTGAGTTTGCTTATATGTTTATTCATCATATGAACACAAGTCAAGATTCGAATTTGATGCCTTCTGTTGACCTCAAGAATGCAATATCAGTGAATAGAAACTTAGAAGATTCAATGAATTCAGGGAAGATTATGTTTTTGCGATTTGCACATCTATTATTGATTTCATGGATGTGTAAGTTGTTAGGGTTTTTGTATGTTAACTTGGTTATGTTCGAAATATTGTGTTCAGGGGATATTCCAGCTACTACAGAAGAATTGCACTTTCACATAATAATCCTACTAATTTTCTTATCAGTGGCTTCATTCTAAAATGATATGGTGCTATGCTGCATAAGATTTGTAACATGTTTATTTCTTTCATACTTTCAGGTTATTTTTCCAGCCTTAGACGACCGTGTCAAGAACATGGCTAGAATGTATTCTCTTGAACACGAGGGCGAAAGTGTCATCTTTGATCAACTGTTCACATTACTGGATTCAGACATGCAAAATGAAGAAAGCTTCAGAAGAGAATTAGCATCCTGCACAGGTGCCCTTCAAACATCAATCAATCAACACATGTCCAAAGAAGAAGAACAGGTAATAATGTCTAACAAGTTTATCCAAGAATCATGTTATTATCTCAATATTCAAACAAAAAAATTGTTAATTCTCATTTTAGGTGTTCCCCTTGCTCGTTGAGAAATTTTCATTTGAGGAACAAGCTTCGTTAGTTTGGCAATTTTTATGCAGCATTCCTATAAACATGATGGCAGAGTTTCTTCCATGGCTTTCAGCTTCTGTATTTTCTGAAGAACGCCATGAGATGCATAATTGTTTATGCAAAGTAATCCCATAAGAAAAGCTACTTCAACAGGTGAGCAAGGGTATTTTTGTCCATGTTCATCTTTTACTCATTTTCTCGTTCCTATTTGACAAATTACTTCTTATACTAATTTAAGATTATATTCATGTGGATGGATGGTGCAAATGGTTTTAAAAAGCGAAAAAGCTCTGAAGAGTGTGAGGAAGGGCATTATTGTCCATGTTTATCTTCCAGACCTAAAAAACGAGAATCTTTCTTGAGGTCAATTGACGATTCCATAGATTCACTACCTGATCGCCCTGTAGATGAAATATTACACTGGCACAAAGCTATAATAAAAGAATTAATTGATATAGCTGAAACAGCTAGAAGGATACAGTTATCTGGAGACTTTTCAGATATATCCGCGTTTAATAAAAGACTCCAATTTATTCCAGAAGTTTGCATATTCCATAGGTACCCTTCTGTAGCAATCACGTGAATTTGACAAGTTTGCATATTGAAACATTGATACTTTGATATTAATTTTATCCTTTTGAATGCATTATTGAAGAAGATAAAGTTATATTCCCTGCTGTAGATGCTGAGCTGTCATTCGCCCAAGAACACACAGAAGAAGAGAGTGACTTTGAAAAATTTAGATGTTTGATTGAAAGCATAGAAAAAGATGGAGCAAATTCATCTTTATCTGAATTTTGTTCAAAGTTATGCTCACATGCTGATCATATCATGTCCATCATTGAGAAACATTTCAAAATGAAGAACTTCAGGTGAATGAGTGAAATAGTGAATCACTAGTCTTTCTTTTTATGACTTTTATTTACCATAACGCCCTTATGTGATTTCAATTTCAGGTTCTCCCACTTGCACACAAGCATTTTACTCCTAAAAGACAACGAGAGCTCTTATACCAAAGTTTATGTGTAATGCCTTTTAGAGT